TAACACACACACACACACACACACACACACACACACACACACACACACACACAGAGGTGGGTCCTCAGCAAAGCAGGGGGTCTATATAAAACCTTATTTACTTAATTAGGTTTGCAGCTCTCCAACTGGAAGGGTTCCTTGGTCTGAAAAGTAACACAGCAGCAAGTCACAGCCGTGCCCAACCTGAAGGCAGCACCAGTTTCCCTTCCAATGGCCTTGTGCTTCAGAATCCCACCCTTCACCACCAGCTACCTAAAACTCTTCAGATTACCACCAAAATATTTTCCAAGTGCCTGCACGCCATGTGCTAATTAATCATGATGATCATCAACATACCAAAACCTAGGCCATACTATCCATTTCAAACCAAAGATACCAACGACACTCCCATTAAAAGAGACATGTTAAGGGGTGTCCGGGTACGTTTGAGCCATAGGCTCCAGTGCTTTAGGCTTCAGTGGAACCACATGTAAAACCAGCCACATCACCCTTCTTATTTCTGAAAACAGGATCATACTGTAGGTAAAAAAAAAATCATAAATTAGGAGTCTGAAAGATAATCATCTTGCATCTCCCACTACCTAGATTCAAGAAAAGCAAAAATAGCTGCTACTCCTGACTTTTCGTATGATACGGGATAGAACAAGAAACCCTCACGCAGGCTCTGGCACACTCACCCTCTGTGCTCTCACACGTCTGCTTAAACTAGACAAAGGATTTTACTTCCATTTACTGAGAAACAAGAGAAGTGATCTCTCCCAATACATATGAAAAGGAAAAAAAAACCAAACCAACAAACCCAAACCGTAATGAAGGCAAAACCCTACAAAACAGGTACCATGCCAATAAAACGACTTCTGCATCCAAGTGCTAATTGGACCTGAACCGTACCTGTACACCAGCCCCTCAGCAGGCCCACAGTTTCCATGGTGGTTGGCACAGTACGTGCCTCTCTCAGAGCATCCAGTCCAAGGGCCCCTCGGCCTTTGGACCACCAAACTCTCCTGGTTTCTGCAAAAACATGAAATCACCTCCAAAGGCCTCCTACACCTTCGCTCTCTTGAGCCAGCGTCCAGATGTTGTCACAGCAGCAGGGACTCCGTAGAGGGACAGCAGGCAGGGTGGCCTGGCCATGGGGAGCGGAGCCTCCCTGGCACCATGGGTGCTGGTGGCTGGCAAGTGAGAGGGTTTATTTCCCTCTGTTCATCAAACCTGTACCAAAAATCTCATCCTCAAAAGCACCAGATACTATTGTTACAAAAAAAAAAAAAAGTTTTTAAATCCTGAAAAAATGGTATAGTTACATTTCAAAAGAGTGGAGGGGGGGTCTCACAGAAATATTCTTAACAGACTCATTAGCACAGAAAATACTTGATTTTTTTTTTTCAAGCCATATCTACCCTTTTCCCCTCTGCCTGGCGAGGCAGACCGGCTCTGATCCTCTCTGTTCTGCGGGGCGGCAGTGCTGGCACACCCCACACTGCTGAGGTAGCCCGTGGCCACGGGAGAGGCTAAAGCTCCAGCCACCTCCCTACGCTGTCACCCAGATGCCTCAAGGCAAACCACAGCTGCTGCCTGGGGTAAAGCAGGGCTTCCCCCTCCAGCACCCGCCTGCCCTTTTTCAGTTTCAATAGCCACAGAGCCATTTCCCTGCAGGAACGAACCCGTTCTCCTTGCAGCAGCTCAGAGTGGCCGAGAAACTGGTTTCCAGCAGACAGATTGAAGGCAGAGGCACTGACCTGGGAGCTGTCTGAGGGGAGACTTCCAGGCAGCTCTCTAACTACGTGTGACAAGTGCAACTTTAAATAAAAAAGGAGAAAAAAGAAGGGAAAAAAAAAAAAGAAGGAAAAGGAAGGAAAAAAAGAAGGAAAAAGAAGGGAAAAAAAAAAAAAAGGAAAAAAAAGGAAAAAAGGAAAAAAAAAATTAAAAGGAGAGAAAAAAAAAGATTAAAAAAAAAAAAGACAAACATCAAAGCCTTCCATAAACTCCCGCTGCGCTAGAAGGGTGGCAATTATGCCATTCTCAACTCTGAGGCTATTTGCAAGGGAAAAGATCGGAAGACTTGGAAAGGGTGCTCGAGTGAAAGAGGTTTATCTTGCCCCATTCAGAGGAAGGGATTACAGGCATAAAACTGTCTGTCACCTTGGAGAAGCTGGAGTCTTGAGATTTCGCCTCCAAAGCCTCGGGGATGCAGGGAAGGAAGCTATTTTGTTCAGATTAAAGACAGATGCAGCTTCCTGAGAGAGGCCATCCTCTCCAATTAGTGGATGTTGTAAGACAATTGTCTCTACCGGCATTAGCCCTGCACTGACAGGCACAAGTGAGATGAGAATCAGGATAAACGTGTATTAGAAATATCACCTGGTTATTTCAAGGTATTCCTATCCCTCTAATTTACATTTCCCTGGATGTTTCACACTGTGCATTAGCGATTCACAATGATGTACATTTACACACAGCAGGCCAAAAATTAATGAATTCCATCACTTCCCTTATTTGGGAGACTTTATGCCCAAGATACAGCTCCCTCGTTTTATTATGCCTTTTGATCTCCACAGAGTAATCTGTTTTCCCCTCGGCAGAACTGTATAATTCTTGCTAATTTAATATGAATTACATTTCTGCACTTCGGGCAGAATAAGCCTCGTTATTTGTTATTTCTCTCTTAAAACCAGGCCAAATTCCACCCACCTGTCCCCCGTAGGTAGGTGGGCAGGTAGCAGGAGGACTGGTGTGAAGCGCTGAGGTAGTGCACAGCACACAAACACGCGGCAACTAAACAGGAGGTTCAGGAGAGGGAAAATGGGGAGAAAGAGCTTCCGAGCCTTCCCTCCCCCATGAGGCACCGCTCACTGCATCGCACAGCCCGTGCTAGGCAGGAAATCATGTAAATAAATAATTATGGCTTTCGTTAGGTACGTCATGGTGCCATAGGCCCCACTGGGAGCGCTGTCGTAAAAGAAGTGGCAAATTCCTGTGGCTGTGTCTTTCTCCAAGATACTACCGGTAGCTCCGAAGGATTTCTGAAAAGACACAAGCAAAAATGGAGGGGAAGTCAGGCACAGATGCTTATTTATTGGAAACCCCCCCCCAACTCGATGATTTTATGTTTGTGCTGAATACTGAAAGCAATTCTCCCTTCCCTCATGAAAACCTTAATGAGGATTTTTATAGGACCCACATGATTTAGTTGGATCAGTGTAAGTAAATGAGGAACATCTAGCTTCCCAGATTTTTGTCCTTTGGGGGCGGGGGGTGGGATTACTCAAATATTGGTAAAATCTAATGCTTTGGTGAAGGAAAACTTCACTTCACTTACTTCAGAGCTTATTAGCCACTCCAATTTTATTCTCTTTAAATCTCCCACAATTCTTAAATTAGTTTTCCAAATATATTTCCAGAAGTGACTCGGTCTGTCTTTGCAGGGGAAAGCATATGGGGAAAAAAAATCAAGCTCGTCCCACATATTTAGAAAGGAGCAGGGGACAATTTTCAAATTTTCCCCACCGCTGCCCTTCGAACTCACCAGCTCCTGCAGAAAGAGGTCATTGGCCATGTGCACGATCCGATCCACGTGGATGATGCCCCCGATGCTGTTCACCTCGATGTCGGAGAGGAAGGTGAGGACGAGAATAGCTTCCACCAGGAGCTGCCGGTACTCGGGCTGGGGCACGTGGTTCAGCACCGACTCCACGTGCACGGCAAACTTGATTTCACACGGGGTCATCTGCCAAGTTTGAGGAGAAGCAGAAAGGAAAACTGACAAACCCAAAAGGACTGGTTCCCCCACGTCCTGCCAGCACTTAAACATGTGCCCTGCTCCGTGCACGGGGGTCGGCTGACGGAAGTGAGCACGGTGTTTGAGTGGCTGTAGCACCCAGAGAAACTTTCCGTGTTGCTGGGCCCTGGTCCTGCAAACAGTTATGCAACTTGCAGAAAGAAGCCTGCTCCAGCCCTGCAACCCATCACACACAAGCTGGAGGTACACACAAGGACTGCTGCTGATTCTTAGCTGGCAAATTAACTCTTTGCTCCTCGTGCTGCACTCTGCCTTGCCAGTGTCTTTCTGGCATCGCAGGTTGGTGGCGAAGCCAAAAATCCCTGTCGAGGTTTAAAAATAACCACCTGCTCAGAGTGAATGCTTTTCCACACAGAGATACAGCTGTATTGTTTGTAGAGAAGCCTAATTTGCACTGGCATAGCTCTATGGATGTTATGTGAAAGGCTGCTGCCTTAGGAGGTTTGTGCTTATTTCGTTTGATTCCTTTAAACAGCAAAATTAGATACTGTCTAGGTCTGACAGGCTAAAAATATAAGCCTATTTATCTACACAATAGGAATAAATAAAGCTCTCCACTTTGCAAAAAAAGGTTTACATTTGGCAGAAAATTCCAGCCCCTCTCTTCAGCTGCTACCACCGTCCCTCAGAAGAGAAGGAAGCCAGAGAGAAAGGTGAGGGAACCAGACAGGGAAACAGCACACAAGCACCTCTCTTGCACTGTTCAACAAGAGTTCTTTCTATAGATGTGACTTCAAAACTTAGCAGAGCACCTAAAGACAGAGTGGCAATCCAACTAAGGAAAAAAACCCGTGAGTAAAGGTTATGGATTTCAAGAGTCAAAGCTTTGGTTAGAAACAAGCATCCTTAATTGGTATTTACTTTTGAGGCTGTGATGCCAAAACACACTGGCTGCTTTTGCAGCATATTAAAAAAATAAGTGTCAAGCAACATGTCTGCTTTGTTCCAACAAGGCCTTGCTTTCTCCTAACCCTGCCCTAAGGACTGCCATCAGCCACCCTCTTGCAAGCACTGCTCCGTGGGCGCCCGGCGTCAGGGAAGGTGTGCAGAGGGCAGGCTCAGCAAAGGGGAAAAACCACCACAAACCCACTCCCAGGCTGCCTGGCATGAACTCAGCCTCACAGCCTGGAGAAGCTGGCAGAAGTGCTGGAAGGAAGGTCCAGATCCTCTAACCTTCTTAAAAGCAAGGATCTGCAACAGCAGCCCCGCTGCACCTTACGCTGTCAAACCAAACATTGGGTGATGGGGCTAGAAAATCGTGGGCATTTTACTTACCTCTCTGGTGGTTGAAGAAGGAAGGACATACCCATCGATGGACAGACCATGGCACTGAAACAACAACATTTGGACAATGAATTTGTGTTCTTCTTCTGTAACTTCATTACAGTTCTTGCAAGTAAACCTGAGTGTTCTCTGATACTAGCCAATAGGTAACAAACTTCAAAAAAAACCCCACAAAAATCCACAAAAAACCCCAAACAACTACAACAAAACTTGTTAAAAATATTATTCCACCTTTGCTGAAGAAGTTATTGTGTAATCTGGCAAAGGTTAGAAATAGCCTGACATGACACGTAGAGAGCGTGCCGTGTTCCAGTCCGGCTGCTGAAGGGGTGGAAAGTACTTGGAGCCACGACAGCAAGAGGCACACAAAGGAGGAAAACAAATCAATGAGAACATTCTGTGGGAAAGGATGTAGAAATAAAAGGTAGTGCAAAAGCATGACAACAGACCATGGAAGTCAGAACATCTATCTTTCATTTTCGCCAAAGCAACATAATAGTTAAGTGTTCCATATCCAGGGCACCGCAATTCAAAGATGTCAACACGTTGTGGTGCTTGGACACGGGCCACCAACAGTGGGGGAGAGGTGGTGTTAGAAATACCAAGGGATATAAAAGATGAGTGACAAAACCTAAGTGGTGAGAAGGCACAATAAGGAATGGGTACCTGAGGTACAAAACCACACCAAGCAGAAGAGAGATCTTTTATGAATAGTCCAAAGAGAGTTTAAGAATTAAATACTCAAGACAAATAAGGACAATCGATTTTAACAGCCAGAAAGCCATTCCAATACTCTCAGCTATTACGTTAGGTCGGGGCAGAAGTGATGCTCACTCTGCTGAAAATCCCATTAGTAAATAGCCATAGATGACTCGTCTTGGCTGACATCAACACCAACAGCTTCAGCATAAGTGATTTTAGAAGGGCAACCAAAATCAAGCTGAGCTGGTGATGCACATTTTTCCCAACTGTGTAGGCATGAACAGCTCAGTGCTGCAAGGTGCTGAATGCTGGCTTTCATCCAGCAAATCAGAGGAACAGGTGCATAATCACTTTGAAATGAGTAAAAATTCATAATCCCCTTCTCCCTCCTTCCTGGAGAGCTGCTTCAACACATTTCCATACCCCTGATCTCCAAGGTGCTGGCAAGGACTTACTTTTCACTTAGAAACAAACAAAAAAAAAACCGTTAAGAATTCCATACAGCTCAGAAGAGCCAGCAAGAGATCTCAAGACATTTTGGAAGAGTCAATACAGTTTCTTACTTCATTCCTTGCAGCTTTTCTGAACTGCATTGCAGTGCCCCTCAGCGGCACTGGCCACAACTTGCATTAGGCCATGGGCGACACAAGACAGAGAGCACTGGAACAGAATTGTTCAGCTGAAATTCAGTGCCAATGGTTTCAGAGAAAAATACACTTCCAAACACACACGTGAACTTGTGTTAGTGGAGTCCTTTTATGTTCAAGAGACATGCTCTACTAATGACTCTAGTTTCCACCAGCCTTCCAGCTGCAGACCAACTTCAACTCCCGGCAACACGCGGCCTCTGGACCCCCAGCTGCCCAGGTGACCGTACAGCTTGTTTGCTTCCAGCCCTCCACTGCTGTCAACTTACCTTCTGAAGGATTTGCCACACTTTCTCATAAAAGCCAACGGGAACCCTGTTAATAGCACCATCAAGCCTCCTCCTGCGCAACCACTGCCCTTTTCTGTCACCCCAGCTCGTGTCTCCACTGGAGCCAGGAGGAGAAGTACTCGTGGGAGATGATGGAGTACTGCCCCTCTGTAAGAAACATGAAAGCCTTTGTTAGTTGCTTTCTATCACCCCAAGTGCTACTCCTGGTAAATACATCATCCTGTTACAATGCTACCTCAGAACCAGAGAAAAAAATACAGGCCATGATGTCATACAAGATGATGGAGTAGCACTGATCCCTTCCTCTCCTCTTCACAACAAGCTTCAGTTCTCTGGTACTTCTATCATTTCTCAACAAAACAGGCAAGCAGTTCAACAAGGCATAACCCAGTGAACTTCACTGGTTGGTTCAACACAAGGCCTGGCTATTTTAACAAGCATGAGTTGGCTGGCTGTGCCAGTGGTGTGCAAGATGGTGGCCTTTGCAGGTCGGCATGACTTGGACTTTGGGCTCAGTGTTGTAAGAGAACCAAAGGGCCCATAAGTCCAGCAAGAGAAGTCCTCCATGCAAAAAGCTCCATTAAAATAAGTAAATAAAAAAATGTATCTCATGTGGTGATGTAACCATCACACCTGCCTCTCTGTAAGTATCAGTCTTGTTTGCTTTATTGTCAATATTGTTCTATTATTTTACTCTATCAGACTTGGAGACTAAATCAGGCAGCAAATTGTCTTCAAAGTTGTGGCACTGCCACCAAATTCTTGTTCCCATTTCCACACATGAACTCCACCTACTCTTTGCACTCTCAAAGAATGTGCTTTTCAGTTTCCTTCTTCCTTCTTGTACACGTACTACTTTCAGCCCAGAAAGAACTTCACTGGCAGCCCCATCTCAGATCCCATCACCTCTGAGTAAGGAACTGCCCGAGCAAAGTACTGGGGAAGGGGGGAAATAAGAACAAAACCTGTACATTTGCAAAGGATAGTGCTGAGCCTGCACAGCCAACTTCTGCAAAAAGACCAACAACTGCACACAAAGTCCATATTCTCTCTTATTGGTGTCAATGAGGCATAGGTGGTGTTCCCTTGATGGCGTGATGCATACTGTTCCTTTCCACTGCACAGGGAAACAGAACTTCCTCCACCCTGTTGAGCTGAACTAGGGGATGCAGGAGGCCAGCAGGAGGGTGGGTGCCAAAATAGAGAAACCCATCTGCATACAGGAATCCACCTGGCCACTCACCTGGTTCAGGGAAGCAAAGAACTCACTGAGCAGTTCTGTGCACTTGAATCAAACACACCGTTGAAGCTTGCCTTTCTGCACTGGCATGGGGGAAAGAGAGAGGCAACAGCAACCTGGCAGTTGTCAGGCCAGGCCACAGGGCTAGTGGAGCTCTGCAGCTGTGTCTTTAGGACACGTGGGAGGTGTGCCATCAACAGCAAGTCTGCAGATGTGGAGAACCACAAATCACAACCGCCAGTTTAAAGCGTGTGCGCAGCTGCAAGCTTTCCGTCTCTTCATAATAGATTTGGACTTAATTTAAATTGTTGAGGCTTCTGTTGGTAAAATATTTAAACAATTATCTTCCTTCTTAAGAGTGAGAGCTTAAGAAGAGCTGCAGTTCTCTGCCTTGAAAGAAGATGACTGCCTGTGGAGATACCCATGCCCCTAAACCCCCTGTCTCAGCAATTTGAAACTGTTCTGGGTTCCTCGGTGTCTGTAGACTGCCAGCATTTATCAACCTTACATTACTTTTAAATAGCGCTGACACCTGTAATGTAATCCACTATCAAGGAGCTAAATCTGCTACAGTGCTTTATCTGCTACAACTGCTTAAGCTTCAGAAGAACTAAGTGGTTCTAAATGCGAGACTCAGCTTCTATTAAAAGATTACTAATGAGAATGGGTTCCCAATGAAGATGAACAAAACAAAGAGGTAGGGTTTGGAAACAATTTTTGGGCAGGAGAAGCCACAGGGAGGTGTCTAGAGCTAAGACCCTTGTGTACACACACACACACACACACAGAGTGAAGAGCAGACGCAGAGCTGCAGATGGTGTTTTACCCTGGGATGAAGAGCAGATGCAGAGCTGCAGATGGTGTTTTACCCTGGGAGCGAACATGCTGCTGGACATGGAGCGGCCCTCATGACAGAACTACAAAACAAAAAACAGACACCAACACGTCAGACAGACAGACATGACAGAACAGGACACAAACAAGGTTAAATAACCTACGTGTTCAAAGACAAGAAACATGGAAGAAGGTGAAGTACTCAGGGGAAAACTGTGATAGCGCCCGGACTCTTACAGTGCTGCACATCAGCTGATTTTGGGGCAGCTGGTGCCGATTCCAGGGTGACCACAAGGCAGACCCTACAGTGCCAGGGACCTCCTTGGTTGTGGTGCAGCCACCAGCTGCCCATGCCACACACTGAGCGCCAAGCTTGGCCAACACAAAGCACCACAGTTTAAGCTGCATGCAAAAGCTTCCCTGTGACTCAAGGATGGGGAAAAAAGCCCCAAGCTCTTCCCTTCCATTCCTCATGTGATGGAGGCGATGTCAGCAGCTTCTCTTTGCAAGAGAAGGTCATCTTGCTGCAGAAAGCCTGTGGGCTGCCAACTGGGTGGGCAGTGCCAAACAAGCAGCTGCCAGGCAGAATTTTTTTCTGAAATGTGGAAGTAGCACCTCAGACTTACAGCACTTTCCTGTAACTGTTGACCCCAAGTCATGCCTCCTAATTAAGTGTTAATGGTTCAGACCCAGGCAAAAGCAGTTGCTCAGCACCTGAGCTCTGGTGCAAAGAGATGTTAGTGCAAGTACTGAATTGTTGCTTGTAACAAAAAGTTGATTGCTCTCTGTCAAAATGACATTAAATCAGTATTTAGTGAATTATTCAGAAAATGCAGTGAGATGTGGCAGGAAGCAGCGCAAGTGAAAAGATGAGGGAAACAAAGATAAACGCAGCCAACTCCTCCTCTGTGCAAAACACCAGCTTTCCATCTAATGCAAAAGCAACGCAGGAAGCACCTTCCCAACCTCAAGAGAAGTCCAAGTGTTTCAGCCCAGGCCCACCTCTGTATTTAAAACAAAATAATGCTGCCACCTAGTGCCAAATCCCTCTTCCTTGCTTGAAAGGCCCTGAAATCAAGACACCCACTATGAGCAGGAGCCCCGCTCAGACTGAGCCCCCAGAGTCACTTGAGGGCCGATGGAAGGCAGCCAGCAGCACCTTCACAAGCCAGGGCCATACCACGAAGCTTGGCCACGCTGCTCAGGCAGTGACACGGCTCAAACAGAGCAACCAGGTCTTGTGAGACAGACACCATGAGTTTCACAAATGCATTTGCTTCCCTGCTTTATCATGTCCCAAGAAGGGTCATTAACTGATCTTTACTGTCACCATCAAATGCTCTGTGTCTAAGATCGTGCAGAAATGCCACTCCTTTCTAAAGGTTTATTGAGCAAATCTGTTCCATTCAACTCAAGGAAAACTTCATATACTTCCTCAGAAACTTACAGAAATGACCGCAGGTTAAACGCATGAGGCTTGATAAACTCTCAGAAGAGAGTCTTTTTTAAAATATGCCTCCAATTCAGAATCACAGCATGGTTTGGATTGGAAGGGACCTTTACAGATCATCTAGTTCCAACCCCTTTGCCATGGGCAGGGACACCTCCCACCAGACCAGGTTGCTCAAAGCCCCATCCAGCCTGGCCTTGAACACTTCCAGGAATGGGGCATCCCCAGCTTCTCTGGGCAACTTGTTCCAGTGTCTCACCACCCTCATCATAAAAAATTTGTTCCTTATGTCTAATTCAAACCTACCCTCTTTCACTTTAAATCCATTGCCCCTTGTCCTGTCATATCAGGCTTTGGCAAAAAGTTTCTCTTCACCTTTCTTACAAGCCCCCTTTGTATACTGAAAGACCACAGTCAGGTCTCCCTGGAGCCATCTCTTCTCCAGGCTGAATAACCCAGACTGAACAACTTGAAGTTATTCATTCTTATAAATGTATTTCACTTGATCACTACATTCCTATTTATCTACAGCAGAAGAAAATTACTAAAAGAAATATTTAAAAACAAGAGAAATCAAAACCACTCATAACAAAACCATCAGTCACATTCATTCAGAATATTTTGGAGGTATTTTCTACGATATCTCTTTATACGCTCAGTTGCTGTGTACTTTAATATACCAAACTTATATATATATATATATATATATATATATATTATAGCAGTAATCATCTTCCATTACTGAAGAGACAGAACAGGAAGAAAACAAACCAAGATTTCTTTTCCAAGTGTATCTTTTCCAAAAGGCATGTGGACCACATTAGCAACTTGTGCAGAGTGTAAAAATGAACACAGTTTGCATGAAAGCTTCACTTTGTACATCTGACCTTTCCTTAGCTAAAAATGATTAAAGAGCTGTTTTAAAGTTGATGCCATGAATGCATTAGAGTTTGTTCCAGTTCTTCTATATTCAGCATGTAAAACAAGAACAAAAACGGAAGGACATTTTTGGAGGAAACATCCCTTCACAGCTTTCTATCAAGGGCTATGGATTTAATTCAATGGGTCTTTGGAAACTTCTCTCATTTACCAAGAATCTATTTGGCATTAAAAATGGTCTCCTAAAATTGACACAGAAAAATTCAACATAACACAGTACCAGAACAGCTGCATTTTCTGATGAGCATTGATGGAAAACCCTCACCTGCTTCAACTCACTCTTCAATTTAGTAATACCACTTCTTTCTGTTTTGGTTGCTCCAGAATGCCCCATTTCATGAATAGAAATTGCAGGGCTAGATGAAGAGGAATCTACAGGTCGCACTAAAAGAAGCAAACGGACATTTTTAAAATTCTAGGGTGTAGAAAAGCAGATGAAGTTTTATCTAGAAGTACAAAATAAAAGCATATGCTTTCACAAGTGTACAATGCTCTCGGTGACAGCATCCTTTCAAATCATGTCAATAGGTCAAACCTGATTGCATCAAGTCAGGGGCCTAGATCTGTACTTGGATACTGGGACCTGATTTTCCAAAACACTGTGCAATCATAGCTTCAAAAGACATCAGAATTGCAGTGTGTCTGTGAGGGCTTAAGAATGAAGGTGGGAGACACCTGAAGTGCCAGTTGGGAATACCCGGGCACCACAGACACACCCCTTGAAGACAGTTTAGATAAACCTTTTTATAGTCTTCATTCTGGTCATATAAAATTTCTTCATTACAGATATATATATATATATATATATATATATTATAGCAGTAATCATCTTCCATTACTGAAGAGACAGAACAGGAAGAAAACAAACCAAGATTTCTTTTCCAAGTGTATCTTTTCCAAAAGGCATGTGGACCACATTAGCAACTTGTGCAGAGTGTAAAAATGAACACAGTTTGCATGAAAGCTTCACTTTGTACATCTGACCTTTCCTTAGCTAAAAATGATTAAAGAGCTGTTTTAAAGTTGATGCCATGAATGCATTAGAGTTTGTTCCAGTTCTTCTATATTCAGCATGTAAAACAAGAACAAAAACGGAAGGACATTTTTGGAGGAAACATCCCTTCACAGCTTTCTATCAAGGGCTATGGATTTAATTCAATGGGTCTTTGGAAACTTCTCTCATTTACCAAGAATCTATTTGGCATTAAAAATGGTCTCCTAAAATTGACACAGAAAAATTCAACATAACACAGTACCAGAACAGCTGCATTTTCTGATGAGCATTGATGGAAAACCCTCACCTGCTTCAACTCACTCTTCAATTTAGTAATACCACTTCTTTCTGTTTTGGTTGCTCCAGAATGCCCCATTTCATGAATAGAAATTGCAGGGCTAGATGAAGAGGAATCTACAGGTCGCACTAAAAGAAGCAAACGGACATTTTTAAAATTCTAGGGTGCAGAAAAGCAGATGAAGTTTTATCTAGAAGTACAAAATAAAAGCATATGCTTTCACAAGTGTACAATGCTCTCGGTGACAGCATCCTTTCAAATCATGTCAATAGGTCAAACCTGATTGCATCAAGTCAGGGGCCTAGATCTGTACTTGGATACTGGGACCTGATTTTCCAAAACACTGTGCAATCATAGCTTCAAAAGACATCAGAATTGCAGTGTGTCTGTGAGGGCTTAAGAATGAAGGTGGGAGACACCTGAAGTGCCAGTTGGGAATACCCGGGCACCACAGACACACCCCTTGAAGACAGTTTAGATAAACCTTTTTATAGTCTTCATTCTGGTCATATAAAATTTCTTCATTACAGAAATTTGCCTTCATATCACTCAAAACTTGATACAACCTTATTTCAGAGCAGGACAGCTTCCATCATACGTATTTTGGTTATTCCACTGCAGACATACATGTGTACTGGCCACCCATGATTATACATCACTTACGCCTCTATTTTACGTGCCACAAGAGTAGATTCCTATTTATAAGACAATCTAACTTTGCATTTATAGTTCTTACTTAACATGTACAGGTACTCAAGTGGACAACTTACAGCTTCTTTCCACACCAAACTCTTTTCCACTGAGAATATGGTGTAGGAGATTTTTCATATCAAAGGGACTTAGGTTCATCAAACTCTCTGAAGCTTCTTCACCTAGTTAAAACATAACCAAAAAAAAGACAAATGTCACCATAGCTTGCTTTATTGATTGTTTTCCTAGGTGAAATGCTGATTGAATGAAGTTCAGTCACACTTCCCTTGGGGCTAGCACTTCCTTTAAAAGAATAAGTATGTAGATTCACATTTCAAAGAAAATACATTTCAAGACTAAACAACAAACACTGCATAGAAATAACTCTATTTGCATTAGTGAACAGTATGCTGCACCTTGTGCAAAACCTCACTGAAGCTGGTGATGAGAAAGCAGTTGCTCCTTTGTAGAGCCAGATTGCTTGGAGAGGCATTACAGCCATCTCCCAACAGCAGATGACATGCACATCTAAATTACAGGGCCAGAGTTATCCCATAAAGAAATGCACGCTTGTGAAAGGCTTGTGTTTTATTTGATTAAAAGATCATAAACTAAGTGAGAGAGAGAAAATGCACATACATGCACGTGAGCACGTGTGTGTGCTCATGACATAGGAAGACATGGCAAAGGCAGCCACAAAGCTGAGGGCAGAGAAAAAGAGCAGCTGGCATTTAAGGGGAAGGAATAATGAAAAGGACCCCAGCAAAGAGAGGCTTTGCACTGTGAATAAAGCAGCTTCTGCTCTTCAGCTACAGCTTTGGGGAAACAGGGCTTTCTGTGCACTCTTCACACAGAAACAGAATTATCCCCAAAAATTACCTGGCTCCTTTTGTCAACTTTTTGTCCTGAGGTAGATACCTGCCCAGTGGCAGCCACTCAAGTTAGCCAGAGAACAGCAGCACCAAGGTGGGCCCCGTGTAACCAGCCACAGGGACCCCCACTTCACTCCAGTATGGAGAAAACCCGGGGAGGGAGGAGGACCAGAAAACACAGTTTCATGAAGTTATTCCCTTTAGAGTGTGCTAGGGCATTAGAAATGATAACAAGAGCCAAGCTACAAAAATACGGCCTGGATCATTCTCCTAAGTGCCAGCATTTGACTGTATATTTGTCACATTAGCCTGATTACTTTCTTGACTGCTCCTTCTGGCCCCTTTCAATTCCACTGATGTGGAAAATTTTTCAATGATTTTTGAGATCCCTCTTCAGTCATGATTCCTTTCTGGTTTCACTTTTCTCTTCCAAAATGAGTCTTAAAATATTTTTGCCTTGTACCACTTGTTTGTTACTTAATTCTTTTTTTATTGTATGCATGTTATTTATATGCAACATCTTGGAGTCCTCTAAGAAATTTTTTACTGATCTCCTGCCAAAATAACGCTACTATATAAGATAACGATGCTACTATATCTGAAATCTAAATGGCAAATATTTTTCAACTAAGCATATTTGAGGGGAAAAGGCGTTCACGTAAAAGGAAGATGATCAGAAATTACTTTGAATAAAAACGACCATAATTATGAATTAAGGTTCAAATACCTAGGGTCCTAACTTTCATTGACTTCAGTGGCATTGGTTCCCTAAATACACATGTGCAATTTGATGACCTGAACTTTAAACATTTACTGAAAGTCAGGGGACTTAAATATTTAATATCCACTTCAGTTTGAATAATTGGGGGATGGGAGGGGCAGGCAGGACTCTTTCAATAAGTTAAAAAAATAAGTTATTTTCAAAGTTTGCAACTGTGTGTGATGAATGAAGAAGGCCATAAAAAGATTTAACACATGTAAATGAAAAAACAACCACTGCGGTGAAGGAGAAATAACGCCACAAGTACCCTTATGATAAAATTGCTCTTACCTGAGCATTTCAGACTCCGAGCGAGCTCAGTGGCCATCACCTGAATGATCAGACCAATGCGAAGCCTGAGCATCTCCACAAAAAGACTGGGCTGTGAGCGGACATACATCGCCAAGTACATAATTATCTCCTGTAAGGACAAATCCATAAGGGCACCCATTTAGAGTGGGTCATCCTGGCTCCCCCAGTCACAGAGCAAACACTGGTGCCACACTGGGTACAGCTGGAAGAACTCTTTTTACACGAGCATCATACCTGTGTCAGGACTGCAATACTGATGTCTTGGCCGCTTGCTTCATAAATAAGATCTGTGAGCTCCTCAGGTGGCAGTGGGCTGCAAGAAGGCAAACCACACTTAGCAGTGATTCAGGCACCTGCTATTAACCTCTTGAACAAACACCAGAACCAAGTGACCCAGAAATATCTTACAATCTCTGCACCACCGAGGTGCCTACGATTCTGCCTGGGCAGCTGGAATTACTTCAGAAGGTGAGGAGTAAGTTTTACAAGAAGATGACAGCAGCAGAAGAGTACCAGCAGGAAGCTGGAGTGTAGGCTGCTTCTGGAACTGAGGCAGAGCTTCAACTTACGCGGTAATGATTTTCTCCCGGGGTTCTGGTGGCAGGCCCACTGTAAGTTGCTTGTGGTGCGACAGAAGGTCTGTGCATGCCTATCATAATGCAACAGAAAGCAAAAGACCTTTCTCTGAGTCATGTGGAAGTCATACAGCTTTTAATTCCCCAAAATGAAACATTCCTTTAGCAATTTTTTAAGTGCATTCCTATTAATTACCAGACACAGATTCAGCAGAATGCTGTTACCTAGTGGCCAAAGATCACCTGAGGTCAACATGGCTATGAGTCTGCCCAGGCTGAAAGCCTGCTTCCCTGCTCTGTGAAATCAGCAACATAATGATTAGGGACTCCAGTGAAGCTGGCAGATCAATAAAGGACTTTATCCTTTACCACAAGATAAACATTCGCTCTTCATTTAAGACAAAAAATATTTTGAATCAATGAAAAACTTGGTGTACTAATATATCTCTTAACAATCTATCTTAAATAAATATATCTCTTTAAAAAAAAAACAACAAACCAAACATAGAACATATTGCATCACATTCCTGAATTAGCTACCCTGATACATTCTGAAATTGGTGCTTCCTCCAATGTTTTACTCTTTTATAGCGACATCATTCAAAAGTGGGTGTTCAGTTTACCTGTTTTCGCATCCTGAATCAAAGACCTCACAAAGCCATGTTCATCTGATTTTTAAGAGTCTGTTTTTCCCTCCCTTAATGCGGAACAAACAGATCATCTCTACTCTCTTCCTCCCCAGTTCATTTCCAGTATCTTTGCAATTTAACACACATGGCTTTCTGTGAGCCTGTCTGTACTGTTTGTCCATCATGTCTTGAGGATGGAAAAGGCTGGGCTTAACCCAGTACCACGCAGGGCAGTTATCTCAAAATGCTTCCTGCAGATATGACTGTCACCTTCACAATCATTTACAACGTGACATTCTCAGTCCATGCCAGTATTATCACAGTTGGCAGTACAGATGAAAGGTGAAGACGTCGCAATAAGATTTTAGATCAGAAAAGCAACCGACGTTTACACAATAAGGAAGACCAGAAGGAAGCAAGCACAAGCCCCACTGGCAGACTGGTAGTTTTATCTCCAGCAGGAAACTGAACCAGCATTATTTATATTTCATACCTCGGCCAGGACTTCCACTCTCTTTTTGAGTATACCGGAAATGTAACGGATCAAGCCCCACTCTTGATTGAGGCCTGCCTTTCTGTAGAGCTCGTTGAGTAGGCAATGGACAGTGACACCATACTGTCCATCCAGCTCCGTGTCCCAGTCAGCACCTCTGCCAGAGAAGAGACAGAAAGTAATTTTCCTCAGATAAAACACTACACTACTTAACCTTATTACACAACACACAGCCTGATTCGGAGCAATTCGCTCATTGTTGGTGACAGACTTAAGAAGTCCAAAGGACATGCAGGCCCTCACCAGAGATTGGTTATACGCAGACAAAACTTCTTAATATCAGGAACTTTCATCTATTAACTTGAGCACTCACTTAACCAGGAGCCTGTGACTTCAAAGCAATCCCCCACCCAAGGGATTTCCCCCTAAGCTTTAAATCGAGTATGTTCACTGACAGTTTGCTGGAGGAACGCTCTGTGTGGTGCTTCTTCAGAATCCAGCAATGTCTTCAGTACTGCTGAAGACTGTACCCATTTTTCAGATGCCTCGGAGGGGCTCTACAAGGTTTTTTCCCCGCCTCTTTCTTAGCTATTAACTAAGCTTCCATGCTGCTTATGACAGTACTGAAAAAGCAAAAGAGATTTCTGTTCCTCTCCTGGCTTTGAAACTCACTGCATTATGGCTGCGTGTTGACAATGTTTTGAAGCGTCACAGAATGACCTTTCAATGCCTGTTAGAGGGACAGAGTCCACCAGCCTGTCCAACACAGACTCCCGCAGTGAAACAAGTCCAGAATAGGAAATTAAGGGTGTTACAAGTAGTTAAGTAACAAAATGGTATTTTTTCAGGATTTCCTTTGCTCTTTAAGAGAGGCTGCTAAACATTTTGCTTGGCAAAACAAGATCAAAGAGGTCCTCACAGGAGAAAGACTAAAATAAACAAAAATACAACCTTTGTAGCAGCAAAGACGACCATCTGTGATTAACACATGCTCATCTTTGCACCCAAAGCAAACTTTCTGCCAGGTTCCAGCAGTATTCTCTTGCATAGGGAAAAAAGCCCAACAAACGTACTACAAAAGATTATTCTGTTGGTTTGTATTTGCATTTTGTTCCCATCAAACCTATTTAATGAGCAGCTGTTTACTAACGCAAACAATTCGGGTTAGACTGTTTCCAAGAATGTGTTGAAGTAAGTTCTAGCCAGGGATGCACTCAGGCATGCAGAGGCATGAGAAGAAAAAATACTGACTACCCATTAAAACTGCATTTTGCTTTTAGTTAGAAAATAACACGACAAAGTTACTCTCCACTCCCTTTTTTGTGTATAAAAATAACAGCAAATCTTTGTGAGCTTAACAGAGTGCCACAAATACAGCAAAGTGTGTTGTCGTTCATGGAAGGATTTTTGCATTTCACTTGTGAGCCTTCAAAAGCCTGTATGAATTTGCAATCATATGCCAATCAACTCTGAAGTTTGCAAAAGCATATTTGGGATCCAAATGATTTATGTAGTCAAGCAAACTGAAAATATCCCTGTTAAAACCCATAATATTTAGCCTCTACCCTCAAAACACAACCCTGAACAGTAGAAAGCTTTTGCACAAGAATAATCAGAGAGTTGTGACCAACTATGAAGATGCTGAAGTTTATGCTCAGATAACTCACTTTAATATATGCAAGATATATAGGATATCTGCTTGATCATGGAGCGTTGGGCATTCCTTTAGCTGCTCAACAAGCCGCCTGCAATCCAAATCACCATGAGCATCTTTAGGTAAGTGCAGAGCATTTTCACAGTCCTGACAATAAAGACAGATGAAAAAATCAAAGAAAGGATCTTGAAAAAAGTACATCAAATTCAAACTGTAGCTTCTCATTAAAAAATACAACAGCCAAGCAACGTAACTCTGCACTTCAAACACAGACACACGACATAGTGCTTGCCAGACTACTGCAGACATGAAAAGGAGACTAGCCCCAGGAAATACAACCACCAGAATGGAACTTGTCTCTAGTTTCAGTTCAGTCAACAAGGAAATAATTTTTTTTGACAAAACAAAAAAAAAATTTGGAAAAGAAGGCAACAAAATTATTTGCACACTTTCCCTGCCATGGACTGCTATTTTTAAAGAGAAATGCAGAAGGATATTACCTTTTTTTAGTTGAAATCATTTACAGCTTCTCTAACCTGCATATATGTGATGCTTTATGAATGCAGATGTTGCCATCATCCATTTTCCAACCTTACGAAACTACCTTGTTAATCAATAATGCAATCCTGTGGTGAGTTCTTGGATGAAGAGAAGTTTTGTTTAATAAGATATTCAGCAATGTATATGGTTCTAAAATACCATTTCCATAGACAGAGACTGTAGAGCAGAATCATTCAGGAGGCTGGATACAATCTCCTGTAACCACTCTTTGGTCACACACACTAGGACAAAACAGGTGCCCAGAGCAATCCCATCATCCTGTCTTATAGTGGGATTTGGCTGGTGCCTTAAGGACGTCTGTCCTTTCACACAGCCCCCTCTTGCCCAGAAGTTATCATAAGTAGCATTTCTCAGAGAACATCTTTAAAGGTCATGAATATTCCATCCTTCCCTTTGTGTGTTCGGTTAGGACTAAAGATGGGTTAGGACTCAACCTTTGGCCTTTAAAATAATCACCTATTATATTATTTTATCTTCTGCAGACACTATTGAATTTTTTCCATTTCGTACTGTCTATTTAACCAAAAAACCCTCACACAGCCGAAAAATAAATCCATTCCAAAACAAGGGAGTAGCTATTCAGTGCCTCAGGCGGAATGGCTCGTCTGTGAGGCAAAATGAGAGCTAGCAGAGGGTTTGGCTGGGTAACACAGGAAAGGCCATTGTATTGGGTCCTAAAAATGCAAACAGCATAAAAATTCCCACAGCTTACCTTTGTCTCAAAGAAATGGGGATTATCAACAAGGTTCAGAGACTTCCGGTGTGTGTTCAGAACTTTAGTGGGCAGAGACATAGACACATCTGGAAAGCAAAGCCAACAGGAAAGAAACTGAAAGTCCATTTCAATAACATGAAAATTGAAAACACCTACATGAAGCAACTATACTAGGTAAGAACAACAGAAATCAAGGTCAAAATATAGAGGAAATGCTTCTGAGATGCTTTGCATGGAGCTCAGAGACAAGCTCGCATTCTGAACCTTATCTCCCTGCAGGCTTGCTGCAAGAGTTCCTGAGATCAGCACATCAAAGCCTCAGGCACTACATGCTCAACTGGTACCTCTTACGACAGCCCATACCTCAGAAATCCTACAGCCCAGTGACCCGACCCTGCTAAGTGTTTTAAACATTTTAACAGAAAGTACGTGGAGAAAATGGTCTAATTGGTAAGATACCATAATTAAAGTGATAATGGTAAATGTAGGCTAATGCTCTGTTAACTTCATATATTGAATTTAATAGACAGGTGATCCAGCATATGAAAGATGGGAGAAAAAACTAACAAAAAAGCCTGAAAGTTATTAATATATGCTGCAGTTGAGGGAAGTCTTCCTTTAACCAGGGCATACTACATACCTACATATAAACCACTGCATATATATGCACATATTTACAAATCCAGTCAAAGCATTATATCGGTGTAAATCCAACACTCAGTCTAGTAGAAATATAGCGCAATTATGAATACTGTCCTCCCTCTCTATTCCATTTCTTGTTACAAATTCAGAAAGTAAATATGCATACTTAACGTTTTCCTGGCATTGGAACATTTCATTTCACCACAACTTTATTAAAGTAAGAAAGTACATTTTGTCTACCTTTGTTTATACAAAGACCAAAAAAAAATGAATTCACTGACTCAGGTTCTAAAATTCTACCCAACTGAGAAGCTGCACCAGTTTCTATAACATTAACTTCCATTAAATGTTACATTTCATAGAAGATTATCTATGTATACACCAAGATGTGGGATACAGTGGGAAAACTACAGGAAAAATCTTGGACGCATTCTTATTTCTTCGTAATTACAACACGCTTGTGCCACTAGTTCTTTTTAAATCGCAGAATTTTCAAATACTTGAACATACCCCTTTTAGCACCCAAAACTGGTTTTCTATTATTATCATCACTAAATAAATAATAGGGAGAAATACCTGGAACCTCCAAGCCCTTTGTCTTGGCCATTATTGACAGTATTTCTTTTGTAGAATGGTTTGCACTGAACACAGGTGGTTGATTAGCAGTCTTTGAAGTAGGAGGCAGGTATGACTTCAGTGCTGTACTCTGCAGGACATCATTTATATACTGATCCAGCTCATCCTGGCTTTCTAGTGTGACATACATAAAAGAAAAGGTTTATTAAACCTAAAACCATAATTTATCAGTTCTTTCTTTTTCAAACACACCACTCTATTCTTGCTTATACAGAACGGTACATAAAAATGCAAAAATATAAGCAAGAGATTTTTAAGCTGAAGAAATCAGAAAGAAAAAAAGTAATCAGCTTTTGACACTCTGGAAACAGTTACATTATGAAGTTGTTTTTCCCTTTGAAAGGAAGCAAAAGGCGTTTTATCTTGCTGGTGGTCAACAGATCAGCTCTTCCACACAAACTCTTGTCTATGAGTCCTCTCAGTCTCTCTGTCCCTCTAGCCTCTTCTGTACCCCACACCGCCCTGTCTGCTGACTCTTCAGAATCAGTTTTACTGCAGCAGTTACAGGTAAACACCATACTATGAATGTGGGAAAAATACGCACAAACTCCTCTAAATTAAGTCATGCATGTACTGTTCACAGACTGACGCATGAGAAGCTGGAATGACTATCAGCTGTGCACAAAACATCAGCATAGGTAAACCCAGGCTCTGATGGTAGAACACATGAGAAACTGGAATGACTATCAGCTGTGCACGAAACAGATTCTTCATCATAGGTAAACCCAGGCTCTGATGGTAGAACTTGACAGAAAAAGAAAAATTGAAGTGAAAAAGCACTACCTTTTTCACAGAAGTCTGCTGGATAGCCTCCATATTCACTGTCAGGACTATTTCGGCCTTCGTTAGGGTCATCAAACAGTTTTACGTCACAGTCTGGATCCAGGAAGCTCAGATGTGTATGGAAAGAGGTGGTAAGAAAATCTGATAGCTTGCCTATCTTCACCCTGCAAACAGGAACGTATGCCCAGGAGCATTAACATTTACCATGCTGATAATGATTAATGCTTACTGAGCTTTAAACAACTCCTCCAAAATTTATGTGACCTACTGCCAAATCCACCTTTGGTAACTACAAAGCAGCAGATAACCTATACTGAGAAAAACAAATGCAAAACAATAGTTGCAGATCCACCTGGGTACTTACTCCTCTAGCTACTAATTGAACTTAAATGTGTTATGGTAACACCTATAATTCCAACTCAAAGACTAATTTTGCAAAGTGTTGTATGTTTATATGAAGGGAGACCCTGAACGAAGACCTAAACTCCAAGGATAATGCCTGAGAAACAGGGGCCGAGAAGCTCCCATGAACAGCAGCATCTTTTCACAGAACTGCAGTGCTGCTAAAAACCAGAAAACACATCTGATGGTCAGAGGAAGATACTGACTGAGAGAGTGTAAACAGGAAGAGAACAGGGAGGTACTGTGGCATCATATTAAATTGATTTTATTTGTAGATAAATGGAACACATAACCTTACAAGTACTACACGTAATTCATATTTAAAACATGTACAATAACCGTGAAAGATAATTACTTCTTCAAAACACAAGGCCAGACAAGACTGAGGGTTTTTTTTATTTCCAAAGGTTTGACATTTGTGTTTCCTTATCCATTAATGGCAGTCGGAGATAGGAGACAGATCTTTCCCATTGCATCTGAGGTCCAGCTACCACCTGATTGCCATATATTAACTTAACCTGAACCTTCTGTCTCTGCAGAGTTCCAGTACAAGGTACTGTGCTCTATCACAAGTTCAAAACTAAGACTTGTATAGGATTTAATTAGAAAAAAATCATGGAGAGAATAATTTGTGAGTTCTGACATTACCTTGCACCTCCAAAATAACCATCCTCTAATTTTCTTATGGTGGCAAGAACTGCTGGATGAATGTCAGTACCATCATCAACTGAAAAAGAATAATGGAAGAGCTGAAGCTTACCAACACATTCTCAAATTATCACATCCAAATAAAGAGTATTACTGGGCGTTCTGTACAAAGTAAATCAAACAAATTTAAACCAGAGCCCACAACTGCTTATTCAAAATCAATACTAGCTTATTCAAAAAATACCAAACAAACAAGCAAACAAAAACCAACCCCAAAACAAGTTCCAAAGGGAATTCTCAAACAAAAACCAACTCACTCAAAACAAGTTCCATAAGAATTTCTATCAAATTTCTTTGGACAGAAATAGTATGAAGATGATGGGAAACGTAGGGATATAAAGGGGGACTAAACCCAAAATGAAATATTACCGTGTCATCCAAATTCAGCATACACTTAAGAAAGTTAAACTGTACTTTTGATGTTAAAACTCAGATGTTGCAAAAATCATGCCACTTCTCTCCTCTCAAACTGACTTCCATCCTACTCCCCCGCAGTAACCTACTCTGCTTGAAACAGAGAAAATGGTGTTTACCAAGCATTGTGTGGGTGATGGGAAACGTCAGGGTTGGTCTCCCTGTCATCCTCCAACAAGAAGTGAGATAAGCCAGCTCTGTCTTGAGCATCTCCACAATCATTTGATTGTCTAGAGCCAGATAGAAGTGATGCTGGTCAGTAAACTAGAGAACAGAGAAATACAGCATATCAGTAGCTGTCAGTGCTGTCATTTTTTTTCCATTTCCTCCCTTAAATCGTTCACAAAAGCCACATGAGCTATCCTGGACCACAACACAGACCGCACAAATTAACTTAACAGGGCCTGCAACTGTGAAAAAGAAACCCATGCTTGTGCAGAGTCCAGTTTCTTACAGTTGTAGGCTGACAGTGAAAGAAGTAAGCCATACAAATAAAAAGTAGACAATCACACCCATGAAGTAGAATCTTCCCAATGAATTACAATAACCTATGATCTGGAAGATGGAAGTACTCTAAATGTGGAATAAAAAAATAACAATAGCAACAAAAACAATAAATAGACTTAAGTGCATGCTGGGGACTAGTAACTGTATGTCTCTTGGGAACAATCTGAAAGTCAAGCAAAATACAGAAAAACTAGCAGTTACTGTGGAAAAAAGGTACATGAAATGTACAATGATTGAAAGTGTGCTGTTCCCACTACAGGGGAAAGACAAGAGCTGCAGTAAAGAGACTATTATGGCTACTTCAGGAGCTGGAAACCAAAAAAGCTGGACAAACAACAGAACATATGTCAAAGCAGCCACAACAATAGTTAAGGAAGCACATAAGTCTTAGGGAGGGATGGAAAAAGGAGGCTGAGATGTAAAAAACCTAGCAATTAGTAAGACACATAATGGTCAAGGAGGAAACATCCTGTAAATGCATCAGAATTAACTGGAAAACAAAGCAACTGTAGGGTGTTAATAAGGAAAGAAAGGAGGTGGGATGAGAGGATACAGATAAGCTGAAGCATTCAATGCTATTTTTACTGACAGAAGAAAAGTAGTGAATTATAACCTGTAATACTACTTTTTAAAAAGTCATAGGACTGCAGCCTGAGTATGGGAAGAAATGGTTAAAGAACACATAAATTCAAGATGGTAAAGTCCAGAGAAATTATTTCACAGAACTTGAGGAACTAGCCAAAACAATCCCTGAGCCACTCGCAATTATTTTTGATAATTCAGGAAGAACAAGTCCCAGATATCCAGAGAGAAGCAAACACACTGGCTGCCTTTAAAAAGGAAGAGCCAGGATCAAATAGACCAGTCAAGCCAATTTCAGTGCCTGAAAGCACAGGAAAACAAAGCAAATTTGAGACTGCCAAGATAACTACAAAATGATAAAGCCAAATGGACAAATAGTCATATCAAAAAAACCAATCTCAGCAAACCAGTACAATTCCCTTCTTTGGGAGCAACTAGATAGTAGGTACAAGAAAGTGGCTGACATCTCTCAACTTTTGCAAAAGTTTTTCTTCAGCTCACTAATGTGAACAATCTGAGGCGGCAGAACTTCCTTCTCAAAAAGCAGTTATTAAACATTTTTCCAGAATGAGAGGGTATCTAAATAGGGTCAGCCTTTCCCCACACCTAATCAATGTTTTCCTTAGAGAACAGGATGAAATACAAACTACAGAGCCACAAAATTTGTGGACATTACTCAAAATCAACACAGATGAGTTAACTGCTAACCTTAGGAAGCTGAAATTAAACATTAATTCCACACCCCAACCCCTTCCCCAAAAAAAGTCAGGAGGAAACAGCTGCCTACAAAGTACAACGGAAATGTTATAGAGGTTTTAGTCAAACATGGAAAAAGCAGCAACTGCCAGTGTGTTGCTGATGCAAAGATAATTGCCATTTGTGAATGTATTAATAAGCACGTGCATACTTGATACATGGGAAGATTTCAGCTGGAATATTAGGTCCTACTTACGTAGTAAAATGTAGACAAAGAGGTACTTTGAAAAAAATCATGACTCTTAAGGAATTTTCCCCTCATTTGCAAAAGTGAAAAATGGTGGCAAGGAACAACACAACAAAAACAATGTTACAAAGGTGCTTGTGATCAATTGACATGGGGAAGAATGGGAAGGGAGCCACATTATTTGTAGTAAAACTGATGTTGTTTGGACATCATGAAGGACTGCAGAAGCTATCTATGGAGACCACTGCGTATCTTCGACTGGAATTTAAAGACTACATCTATTTAGGATGGTGTAAGCATTCTTTATCCTGCTCCAGATCCACATGTTTGGAGTAGGGGATCCCTTGGCCTTCTAGTACCAACAACTAGAGTAAGTCTACAGGAGTATGTATATATCATATTTTATTAAATGTATAAATAAGAGCCATTAATTCTGGGAGAATCCAAACTTCCAGCTGCATTGAAGGCACTAAGGAGAAAACAAAGACAGAACAACCCTTTCTCAGCACGATATTGACCTTTTCAACAATATAATGAAAAGATTACGTCTTAGTCTCTTGGGGGATACAGTACTTGGCACACTTACACAAAACTAAATTTTCCATCAAGGCAATCAGCAAGAAGACATATTAAGTGACCTATTTCTGGAGAAACTATTTCATTACAATGTTGGTTGGCGCAGAGGTCAGTAACAGCTTTGTACTATTGATTTGCTGTGTTCTCCTAAGCCAGAAGCCAAAGAAGCCAGACCCTGTATGACAGAAGAGAGATTTATCAGCAGTCCTACCATGCTGATCATTCAATGCTCTTAAAAACCCCAAAAAGCAAAGCACATCTGCTTTATCAGCCCTGCTCTGTGGAGTGACAGCACATAAAAGCAAAGTGCTTTGCTAATGATTAGCCATTAAGTAAGCAGTGATTTCCATGCCAGATTTACACGCTCACCTGAGGGGTAAAAGTAAATATTTGATTTCTTATCATGTACAGCTTGGAGGTGCCTAACACTCCAATGTGTCGGTGTGGCCGTCCACTTAATTTCATGTTCTTGTTCCGGCCTGAAAAAAGAAAGAAAAAAAATTTCTCACCTAATATTTCCTGTGTGGCTTTCCACAACAACCGTTTTAGACAAGAGATCTACTTCATTCATATCAGCAAGCTAGAAGACAGCTAAGAGTGAGATGCCACAGACTGATCTGTTTTGTAGAAACCACCAATATAATAGTTAGAGTTCTTCAAAGGCCTAATCAAAAATAAAAAATTTGGCTTCACTGACCATGGGATTACGTCTTTTAATTATAGTCATTGCTCAGCACTCAAAGTTTCCCCAGCAAGAAGGACAGGAGGCATGTCCTTTCAAAAACAAGCTGATCAACACACAACAGAAATTGCAGTGCTTTAACTGTAGAACTTAAAAATTTAACCCACAGAAGGCTAAATCCAAATTAAAGGTACATCCAGATGCAAAGACAGATTTTCACTCTTTTCATCAGGCTAATAAGCTCCACTTTTCTCAGTAGAACTTAGCAAATGATGAACACTGCACCCTTTGCTCCAGCAGCCAGGACCTGACTTGAATCTATCTGACAAGGAATATGAGCCAAACAACCACATGCCTGAAAAAATACCATTCCCAAAGAAGTCACTATTAAAACAATACACCAATGTGTCAAATCATCCTACTCACCCCCACTACTGAAAGAAAGCTATTATGAGTAATTATGAAATAAATATAAGCTTCAGCAAAGCCCCACAAATGCTTCATTTGTTAAAAGTTCTTTGTGATAAAAAGACAAATTCTTTCCCAAAAGCAGCATATGCATTTCCTTTCTCCATGTAAAGGGCACATTTTCTAGAATTATTTGAAGGCCTCATTACTTTGGATGGTTCAAAAAAGCTTCTTGATAAAGTGAAACACAAAAAAAAAATCCCAACAAAAATCACCTCCACAACAAAAAAACCCTTTACTAAGGACAGTTTCTTTGTGGAAGTAGCTCCTGCAGGACAAGAAGTGTCAGTTCTTGCCTGACTCCAAGGGTACAAGGAAACTTGTGTTTTGGTCACCTTTTCTAATGAGGCAATTTTATTTTCCTGTTGAAGTTCCCTGTTTATGACAGAAGTTCTAATTTTGTTTGCACAAATGCATTTTATTTTACATAAAAAATTGATTTAAATAAAAGAAATTAAATTAAGGAAAATGAGACAGTTTGAAGCAAGAACAAACACCAAAACACTACCCCTTAAAAAATACCTGGCAGAGCAGTAGAGAGAGGCTGCCACGTTCAAATACTTACCCAGCATGGTATAGAGGTTACTCAGGATGCGAGCTGGCTGCACTCTGAGAGGATGGATATCAGCAATGCTCTGCACGTTGATTCCATGGTCTTGCAAGAGATTCTTAATTTGATTAGATTCTGCCAGAACAGTTACTGCATAACAGAAAACAAAAACGCTAGTAAGAACCAAAGTTCTTCTCTTTTAACTACTCTGTCTCTACTGTCACTTCTCAAACACTGCATAGTTTACTAAAAATGCACAAAGGCCTGGACCTCACTTCTTTCTTTAGTTACAAGACTGTGAGATCAAAGGGGACTGTAAGAGGGTGTCACACAGTTTTTGGCTGCTTCTCAATATGTCTTGCCATTCTTGACTACTTTGGACCACAGAGTAATTCAAGGCAGAGGGTCCTCACAAGGTCTCTACTTCAACTTCCTGCTCAAAGCAGGGTCAGCCCTGATGTTAGACTTAGCTCTTTGGGCCCTTGGCAGTTTCTCCGGATTTCTTTCAGTACCGTTAGTTTGGATCATGCAGTCTCTTTCAGCAGATGGTGCTTTCCCCCCATCAAACAAGGCAAAACCCAACTCGAAAATCTTCATTGCTTTTATAAAGCACACTGTAACAACACAGCGGAGTCAATGGGGAACAGGTGCTGTTACCTATATAGCAACAGATGTTACAGGGGCCATAAAATGGCAGAGATAGGGAAGGGAAGTGCCCAAGTCAGGGAAATTTACAATCCAAGACTTGATCCAACCTTTTGTTCTGCTTGAGGTTTTGCTCATGTTAGCTGATTTATTGGTTTGGGACTAATAATTCAGTTTTCTTCTTTGCATTGTAAATATTTGTCAAAGAATGCTAAAAATAAGCATTTCTATTTTTACTAGAAATTAAGCACTTCAGATTAGCAAAGTACCACCCCCATGAGACACCAACAAGGGTTAAACAAGCACCTGCCCACATGACAGTATCAAAGGCTGCTCCTGATAAATGAGCTGGTTGCTTTTCCAGAGCGGTACAGGCCCTTAAAAGCCTTTAAGTCCTGACCAGCTGATCTTTTCCCACTGCTTAATTTTCTGGTTTTGACCATTCCTGCATTGACATAAGAAGCCACTCCCCTGCAGTAGCCAAAAGATAGGTCTATGTTTGACTACCTCACCCATACATTGATCTCTGGTTCCTCCAAAAAGGAGGAAACCTAACTTAAACAGCACAGAAAACTAACTAAACTGACTGGTCTCCTACCCCTTCTTGCTAAAATCCACACAAATTTTCATTCTCACTACAATATTAAGTTTGCCACTCTCCTGTCCCTGAGGCTTCTTCACCCCAGGAAAGTGGTGGTGAGGCCAATAACCCTTTTCTCCTTCTTACAGTAACACCAAAGCATCCATGTCCCACGCAAAAAAACATACTGCTTTTAAACATCTCTGTCTTCTCTCCTGTACAAAGGGACTTCACCATCACATGATCCAATTAACTCAAAATGTTCAAAAAAACTCCCTCACCCTGTACCACAACGTCAGGTTTAAATCCAGTGGAAAATCTCCTGTTTAAGGGATCAATTTCACCCGCAGCAAGAAATCCCTAAAATAAATGCAAAAGAAAGAAGGAAAAAAAGGAAACAAACAAAATTAAGTAAAAGGCTTCTGATGACATCTAGAAAGAATATTAACCAATTTTGATACTTTATCATGACAGCAGGACTAAAAACCTGGTTTC